CGAAGAGGAGGGAGGCACGTTAAGGAGCTTACGAAGGGGGGTAATGGTAGGATGAATGTGGGATTATTCGAACGTGCCGGCTCGCGCATGGCGCATCTCGCTGCGCCAGTGATGTATCACCCTGGATTCGTTTGAACCCAGATCCATGCATCAGGGTCGTGCGAGTACCAAATTGATGGCGTTCACATCGTTATAGCTGCGTCTCCAACTCACTCGAGTCAGCAACAGGGACGTGAGATCAGGGACACATATGAGCGGAGAGTCGCCTCTGATTCCCAGGTTCTATTTTGAAGGGATGATACCGATGCTGCTTGGGTGACGAGGCGTGTGGATGACTGTCGGTGAAGATGATTCGGGCGGGGGCACGGCTTGCAGCAGTAAAGAAGTAGGAGGTGGATGAGGAGTGGCACGAAACAATTCGGCTTCCTCCGCAGTTTTGCGCCCTGGTTCGAGCAATGCTGCCCCGGCTCGGGCGTGTGAGCATTTGGGGGCGATGTTGGTCCCGCTGGCGAACCTCGGTCTTCAACCAGGGAGCGTCCTCAGTCTCCCGCTCGCACTGTTACCTTGCATTTGTCAATTTTGGGCTGGTTTTTCCTTACTCTCTGTGCGTTGCGCTGGGGAAGGCCCCAGACGGGAGCGCCTCTAGGGCCCAAGACGGTTTAAGACAGCCCCAGACGCTCCCAGAAGTCCGGAAGAGAGCCCGAAGATATCTTTTGAACGGCTTAGACGGGCCCCAACACGTTGGCAAAAATGACCAGCACGCTGCCAAGACGGTCTAAGGGGCCCCAAGACGCCCTAAGAGGGCCCCAAGACGCCCTAAGGGGGCCCCCGGATGGTTACATATCATATCATATATATATATATATATATACATACATGTTCACGTACATGTTTTCGTTAAGCTGTAATCTCTGAAGCACTGTTATTCAGCTGCCTGCGGCAAGCCTCGCCACCGTGCCAGCCCAGCAGCCTTGGTGATGACTGTTCGAGGGTGCACGGGAGGCAGTCAAGTGTGGCACCTCGTGTCTCCAGGGTTGAGAGACCCGTGATGCAGATGATTAGGATGATGGGGGTGATGACGATGATGATGATGATGATGATGATGATGATGATGATGATGATGATGATGATGATGACGATGACGATTATGATGGCGATGATGATGGTGATGGTGATGGAGATGATGATGCCGACGATGATGATGACGACAAAGGCAATGATGATGACGATGATGATGATTACGATGATGATGCTGATGATGATGCGGTTGATGATCATGATGATGATGATGATGATGATGATGCTGACGATGATGCTGATGTGATGATGATGACTATGATGATGATGATGATAATGATGATGATGATGATGATGATGATGATGACGATGACGATTCTGCTGACGACTATGCTGGCGATGATGGTAATTCGGTGACGGTCAGAGTGATGACGATTATGCTGATGCTGATTATGATGCTGCTGATGGTGGTGATGATGATGACATTGATGGTGATGCTGATGATAATACGTTTGATGATGGTTTTGATGGTAATAATGACAACTCGGATCATGCTTATGATGATGCTAATGATGATGATGATGATGATGATGATGATGATGATGATGATGATGATGATGATGATGATGATGATGATGATGGTGATGATGATGATGATGATGATGATGATGATGATGATGATGATGATGATTCGGATGATGATGATGCTGATGACGATGCTGATGACTATGATGATGATGATGATGATGATGATGACGACGATGATGATGACGATGATGACGGCGATTCGGCAGATGATGGGTGTACTTCGGTGACGGTAAGGGTGATGATGATTATGGTGATGATGATTATGATGCTGCTGATGGTGATGGTGATGATGATGCTGACGATGATGATGCTGATGGTAATGTGGTTGACGATGATTGTGGTGATGATAACTAAGACTATGCTGATTCTGCTGACCATTATGGTGCTGATGCTGATCCTGATGATGGCCATGGTGCTGAGGATGCTGATGATGATGATGATGAAGATGATGATGGTCGTGATGATGGCGATGACGATGGGATGAAGCTGATGATGATGATGATGATTATGGTGGTGGTGGAGGATGTGGTTGTGATGATGCTGGTGATGCTGATGGTGCTGCTGATGATGGTGATGATATTGATAATAATTATGATGATGCTCATTATGATGATGATGTTGATGATGATGATGCGAATGATGATGATGATGATGATGATGATGATGATGGTCGTGATGATGATGCTGACGCTGTTGCTGAAGATGAGGATGATGATGACGACGACGACGATGATGATGATGATGATGACGCTGATGATAATGATACTTCTGCTGCTGCTGCTGATGATGACGATGATGACGATGCTGCTGATGCTGCTGACGATGATGTTGTTGCTGCTGATGATCATTATGGTGGTTGTGGTGGTAAGGATGCTGAGGATGATGATGGTGCTGCTGCTGATGATGATATTGATGATAAGCATGGTGATGATGAGGATGATGATGATGATGATGATGATGATGGTGATGATGATGATGACGATGATATGATGATGATGATAATGATGATGATGGTGGTGGTGGTGGTGGTGGTGATGATGATGATGTTTATGATGATGATTATGATTATGATTATGATGATGAAGACGATGATGCTGCTGTTGATGATGATGATGATGATGATGATGATACTGCTGCTGCTGCTGATGATGATGATGATGATGATGATGATGATGATGCTGATGCTGCTGCTGATGATGATGATGATGATGATGATGATTGTGATTGTGATGATGATGATGATGATGATGATGATGATGATGATGATGATGATGATGATGATGATGATGATGATGATGATGATGATGCTGTTGATGATGATGATGATGCTAAGGATGATGAAACTCGTTTGGGCCTTTTTGGGACTGTCTTGACCTCCTGTGAGGCAGTCCTGGGGGTTTCTTGGGGTCCTCCTGTGCCGACGTGCGGCCCTTTTTCGCTGGCTTGGGGTTCTCTTGGGCCGTCTTGGGGGTCTCTTGGCCGTATGGTGGGTGTCTGGGTGCCGTCGTGGAGCCGTGTTGGCGCCGTCTTGGGCTGTCGAAGGGCCTTTAAGGCCGTTTTAGGTCCCGCGGGAGGCCTTCTTGGGCCGTCCTGGGGCCGTCTTGGATGTCTCTTGGACCATCGTTGAGTCCTCTCGGGCCGTCTTGAGCTGACGGAACCGACAAGGCGAGAACGCACAAATCATTCAGAAGCCAAGGGAGAAGCAATGTTTTTTCGCTTTCACCACGGGATCGTCGCTTGGGAGGCCCTCGAGCGCGTGGGAGCAGCGCCTGTGAACGTGGGACGTGCACGATCCTCGAGGTGTTGCACGGTAGATGAGGGGGTCAACGAGTTAGCAGCCATGCGGGAAGTGCACAATCCTTGAACGGGTGCTCATGGAATGATGGTTCAGACCTTAGCTGCCGTGCGGGAAGTGCACCCTCCTTGATCGGGCACGCGTGGAGGGGCGGCTCAGGCATTTGCTGCCATGCTGGCAGTGCACCATCCACGAGCGGGCACGAGGGAAGTGGCCTCGCAAAGAAGGGGCGGTGCACTCAAGAGTCGGCGGGTAGGGATGAGGAGGATCATTTATACTATTACAAAATCCCGTACCCGTCAGACGTTGGTATTCTTCCACGCCTCAACGTGCAAGGGGGCGCGGTGGCGGATTGATTCCCCCTCACACGTGCCCATTCAGTTTTTGCATTGTAGTGGCCCCCTCGGGGCTCGCACCTCGTTTTTTTTTGGGGGGGGGGGGGGGGGGGGCGTGGAGTTTCTCATCTTCAGTGCGACGTACCGAGATCGATTCTTCGACGGACGAGTTCTTCTGGCGTTGTGTTCACGCCTGGAGCAAATGGCAGTGCGCGGTTTTGTGGCGGTGGTGTTGTCTGTGCAGCGGCCCAGCAGGAGTCCGCGGTATGACCAGATCCTGCAGGACGCGTCGACCGTGCAGGACAGGGTAGGCTTGCCACGCCCTTCCGCACACGGTCCTCTTTCAATTCGGACCGCATCTTCATTCAATCACATGCTGTGGTATCCCTGTTGATCTGCAGCATTTGGGAGTTTCCTGCACCCCAAGCCGCACTGTCACTGAGCCGTCCGAATTTCTGAAAGCTTCCTGGAGTCCTGCGTTTCCTCCTCTTTCTTCCCCATGCTGCTCCGCCTCTTCCTCTTCCTTCCCTTCCTCCTTGTCCTCCTCATTCTCCTCCTCCCCGATCTTCCCGATGACCCCTTCGACCACCTCCTCATGCTTCCTCTGAGTGCAGCTTTGAGTCGTCCTGTGTTGTCGGGGAGCTCCGCCTTTGAGGACGTTTCGTCCTCCTCCTCCTCACCCTCAGCCTAATCCGCATCCTCGTCACCAGCCTCTTCAGCATCACCACCATCATCATCATCACCACTATCACCATCACCATCATCATCACCATCAGCATCATCATCAGCCTCTTCATCACCACCATCATCATCATCAGCATCAGCATCATCATCATCATGACCCTCACCATCACCAGCAACATCATCATCGTCACCATCATCACCATCTTCATCACAACCACCACCACCACCACCACCACCATCATCATCATCATCATCATCATCACCACCACCACCATCATCATCATCATCATCATCATCATCTTCACCACCATTACCACCATCATCACCGTCAACACCGTGATCATCATCATCGTCGTTACCGTCGCTATGGCCGTCATCGTGCCATACCCGCCTCCATCATCATTCTCATCATCAACCTCATTATCACCACCACCATCACCATCACCATCACCATCACCATCACCATCAGCATCACCATCACGATCGTTATTATCAACACCAACATCAGTATCATCATCGTCATCATCATCGCCATCATCATCATCATCGCTATCACCAGCATCATCACCATCATCCTCAGCGTTGCCGTGATCATCCTGATCATCATCATCAGCATCATCATCATCATCATTGCCGCCACCATTGTCATCATCGCCAGCATCGCCATCATCATTATCATCACCACCATCGTCGTTATCATCACTAGCATCATCACCGTCATCATCATCATCATCACCATCATCATCATCCGTATCGCCATCATCGTCATCGCCATCAACATCATCGCCATCATCATCATCCTCCTCATCATGACGAACATGATGATGATGATCATCATCATCATCTTAATCACCACCATGATCATCACCACCGTCATCGTTATCATCACGTCCACCATCATAACCATAATCACCATCACAACCGTCATCACCATCACCACCATCATCACTATTATCATCATCATCGTCATCCTCATCCTCATCATCATCATCATCATCATCATCATCATCATCTTCGTTCGCCACCATCGCCAACATCATCATCATCACCATCCTCACCACCAGCACCATTAGCAGCATCGCCATCATCGTTATTATCATCAACGCAATTAGCAGCATCATCATCACAGTTCACCACCACCGCCACCACCATCATCATCATCACCATCATCATCATCATCATCATCATCATCATCGCCACCATCATCATCAGCAGCAACATCACCATCATCATCATCATCAGTTCCATCATCATCATCATCATCATCATCATCGTCATCATCATCATTGTCATCAGTATCATCATCACAAAAGTCAGATCAATCATCACCATCATCATTTTCATCATTACTACCATCATCATCACAGTTATCATTATTGTCATTACCATCACCACCATCATCATCATCATCATCATCATCATCATCATCATCATCATCATCATCATCATCATCATCATCTTCGTTCACCACGACCGCCACCATCATTATGATCATCATCACCACCATCATCACCATCATCATCATCATCGTAACCATCATTATCACCATCAACATCGTCATCATCATCATCACCATCTTCCTCATCATCATCATCGCCACCACCATCATCATAATCGTCGTCATCATGATCATCATTATCATCATCATCGTCACCGTTCCCAACCACCGCCACCATCATTATCATCATCGTCATCAGCAGCAGCAGCATCAGCATCAGCATCAGCATCAGTATCAGCATCGTCGTCACCATCGCAATGGCCGCCAGGTCCCCATTGTTCTTCCTCCTCGCTCCCCTCCTTTCCAGGACCCGGTAAGCCAAGTGGCCATCATGAGGGACCTCGCGCGTGTGGCGATGGAGGGCGACGCCAGGGCTGGCGCCTGCCTGGCCGCGTGCCTGCAGGACGGGCCGGAGCGGGCCAGCGTCGTGTTTGTCCTTTTCTTCGTCGCCGTCATCCTCGTCCTCGTCCTCGTCTTCGTCGTCGTCGTCGTAGTAGTCGTCGTCGTCGTCGTCGTCGTCGTCGTCGTCGTCGTCGTCGTCGTCGTCGTCGTCGTCGTTCTTCGTCTCGCAGATCATGGGCGACGACTAGCAAAGCATGGCCACAGGCCAAGAGCGGTGGGCACATCTCACGATTTGTTCTGGACGGCTCAGCGACTTCGGACTTCAGATCGGGTCCAGCACGCTTTGCCTGGATGCGGGTTTCCGCAAGCATTGGGGGGAAGCAGCGCCCCGAACGACGAAACGCAGTTCTGGTCCTATTCCTCGGTGTGTTCCTGGTGCCTTTCCTCTCCTCCTCTTCCTCCCTCGTTCTCGTGCTGGGCAGTTTATTGTGCTCATTATCCTCCTCCCCCGTCCTCTTCCTCCCCCGTCCTCTTCCTCCCCCTTTCCCGTCCTCTCCTCCTCTCCCCCTCCCCCGTCCTCTCCTCCTCTTCTCCCCCCCTGTTCTCTTCCTACCTCCTCCCTTCGTTTTTGCGCTGGGCAGTTTCTCCGCGATCCCGAGCGTGGCCCGAAAGCAGCCTCCGAGAGGCCGGAGCCGAGGGGAGCGCTGCAGGCGGCGGATTTCTCCGCAGCGCCAGGAGCCTTGCAGCCTACCAACACGGTCCACGTTCCATCCCCTCCTTGCAATGACAGTGAAAATCTAATTCGCACTTTTGCTGAGGATGGAAAGAGAAATAAGCCCCTGCTTGCTGTCTCCTCCGCCTCCTCCTCCTCGTCCTCGTCCTCGTCCTCGTCCTCGTCCTCGTCCTCCTCCGCCTCCGCCTTCGCCTCCTCCTCCTCCGCCTCCTACTCCTCCTCCTGTCTAGAACTGTTGAGATTGCCAGCTCAGGCGCCCATCTGGAAAGATGCGTTGAGCTTTCTGTGCAGCGTGCCCTGCCCGTGCTCTCCCACAAAGCCCAAGTGTTTTCACTGTGCCCGGTGCAATGGCAGTGCGTGAGAGGGTGCTATTTGCTCGTCTCAAGTGCGCCCCGTGCACAGTTGGTCTCGCACCCGGAGTGGTTCGAGCTCCAGGCCTGGGGGCTACCTCGTTTGCCCAGTATCCTGTCCATGAATGCGGCCGCGTTGATGCGGTGCTCGTTGGCAACACTCTCGACCTGGCAGGCTCAGATCGCGCGCTTGCGGACGGCCGTGGTCTCCCATGGACGTGCAACTTGGTGGCAGTCTCCGCGGCACGCTCCCGAGTTTTGGCAGTCCGAGGCAATCGCTAGCACCCTTGAGTGGGCCTCCCGAGGTTTTCCTCCTCGTCCTCCCTCCTCCGATTTATCCGCCCGTCCTCGTTCTCGCCTCCCGCAGCGCGCTCTGACACAGGGCGGAGCGGCTGCCCTGCATGTGTTTCGGGATCCCGCGATCCGAGAAGCGAGAGGGATACCGCGGTGTGAGGGGGAATTTAAGCTTTGCTTCCAGGCTGCCCTGTACCCGACCCCTTCCCTCCCCTCTCGCATCCTCGTTCGTGTCCGTCGTCGCTTCGCCCCCACCTTCGATTGGGAAGGGACAGAGGATGCCACGATGGAGTTGCTGCGCTTGGCCCCCTCCACGTGGGCCCAGATTTCTCTCAGATCGTGGATTGGGTCATGGGTCACAAGTCGTAGGATGGCCCGACTTGATGCCCAGTGCATCTGCGGGTGCAGTGCTCCGGATAACGTCAATCACTATATATCAATGGCAATGACAATGGCAATGACAATGGTAATGGCAATGGCAATGACAATGATAATGGCCATGGCAATGGCAACGGCAATGGTAACTGTAATGGTAATGGCAATGGTAGTGGGAATGGGAACGGGAATGGGAATGTGAATGGGAATGGGAATGGGAACGGGAACGGGAATGGAAATGGTAGTGGTAGTGGTAACGGAAATTGGAATGATAAGGGTAAGGGTAAAGGTAAAGGTAAAGGTAAAGGTAATGGTAATGGTAATGGTAATGGTAATGGAAATGATAATGGTAATGGTAATGGTAATGATCATGGAAATGGGAATGGCAATGGAAATGGTACTGGCAATGGTAATGGTAGTGGCTAATGGCAATGGCAATGGCAATGCGAATGGTAATGGTCATGACAGAGGTAATGGTACTGGTAATAGTAACGGTAATGATAGTGGTAACGGGGCAGCGACTGGCAACGGCAATGACAAGGACAATGGCAACGGTAATGGTAATGGCAATGGCAATGGCAATGGCAATGGCAATGGAAATGGCAATGGCAATGGTAATGGCCATGGCAATGGCAATGGTAATGGTAATGGTAATGTGAATGGGAATGGGAACGGGAATGGGAATGTGAATGGGAACGGGAATGGGAATGGGAATGGAAATGGCAGTGGTAGTGGTAACGGAAATGGATATGGTAAGGGTAACAGTAAAGGTAAAGGTAGAGGTAAAAGTAATGGTAGTGGTAATGGCAATGTCAATGGCAGTTGTAATGGTTATGGTAATGGTAATGGTATTGGGAATGGGAATGTGAATCGGAATGGTAATGGTACTGGCAATGGTAATGGTAGTGGCGAATGGCAATGGCAATGGCAATGGTAATGGTAATGGTAGTGGCGAATGGCAATGGTAATGGTAGTGGCGAATGGCAATGGCAATGGCAATGGCAATGGTAATGGCAATGACAGTGGTAATGGTAATAGTACTGGGAATGGTAATGGTGACGGTAACGGTAATGGTAACGGTTATGGCAATGGTAACGGGGTAGCGATAGGAAATGGCAATGGCAACGGCGATGGCAATGGTAATGGTAATGGTAATGGCAATGGCAATGGCAATGGGAATGGCAACGGCAATGGCAATGGCAATAGCAATGGCCATGGCAATGGTAATGGTAATGGTCATGGTCATGGTAATGGTAATGGTAATGGTAATGGTAATCGTAATGGGGATGGGAATGGGAATGGGAATGGGAATCGTAGTGGTAATTGGAACGGGAACGGGAATGGAAATGGTAGTGGTAGTGGTAATGATAATGGCAATGGTAATGGTAATGGTAATGGAAATGGTACTGGTAACGGTAATGGTAATGGCAGTGGTGATGGGAATGGGAATTGTAATGGTGATGGCAGCGCTAAGGGTAATGGTAATGGTAATGGTAATGGCAATGGTGTTGGTAATGCTAATGGTAATGGCAATGGTAATGGTAATGGCTAGTAGTAATGGGAATGGTAATGGTAATGGTAATGATAATGGTAATGGTAATGGCAGCGGTAATGGTAATGGTAACGGGGTGGCGACTGGCAATGGCAATACATTGGCAATGGCAACGGCACTGGTAATGGCAATGGCAATGGCAATGGGAATGGCAATGGCAATGACAATGGCAATTGTAAAGGCCATGGTAATGGTAATGGCGATGGTAAAGGTAAAGGTAAAGATAAAGATAAAGGTAATGGTAATGGTAATGGGAATGGGAATGGGGATGGGAATGGTAATGGTAATGGTATTGGGAATGGGAGTGGGAATGGAATGGGAATGGGAGTGGGAGAGATTGAGAGGGAGAGAGAGAGAAAGAGAGAGAGAGAGAGAGAGAGAGAAAGAGAGAAAGCGAGAGAGGAAATATCATAATAATGATGAGGAGAAACGTGAAAGATCGTAAAACATCGTCTGAAACCCACAGGGGTTCCACAATCCCCCGGCCTCTCCTCCTCCTCCTCCTCCTCCTCCTCCTCCTCCTTCTCCTCCTCCTCCTCCTCCTCCTCCTACCGATCCTCCTCCTCCTCCTGCCCCTTTTCCTCCTCCTCCTCCTCCTCCTCTTCCTCCCCCATCCTTCTCCCCGTCCCCATTCATCCCTCGCCCCCCTCGTTCCCCCCCCTCGTGCCGCGGCACTCTCGACCTAAGCCCACTGGCGGGTAGGACCGCCAGATTCTTAAGACACCGACCCCGTCGGCATGTGTGAGGGGCTTCTCCGGTCGAGTCGCCGTCTCCGTCGTCTCCTCGTCGTCCCCACTCCTCAAGCGCGCCATCTCAAGCGAAACTGAACAACGTCGTTTGTGGAGTCGACTGGAAGCCCCTTTCACTTCAATCACTTCCCCGTGAGGGGAGGGGTCCGCGGGAGGGGCCCGGGGGAGGGTCCCCGAGTTTGAAAAGGGTTGGGAGGCCCAACCAGCAGCTTCGCCTTAGCCTTAGGCGAAGCCCAGCTCCAGCTCTGTTGTATCGTAGTAGCGTTAGTCCCAGTAGTAGGAGGTCGTCGCGGGAGCGACGGGCCATCTCAAGCGAAGGATGTTTTGGGTCTCGATGGCGAATGGTACACCTCGCACTGAGGTGTAGTCAGATTTGGGCGGCCAGCCGCTTTGAGCCAAGCGGCCGCGGGCACACGTTCGCTTCCATTCACCTGTGTCCCCAGCTCACTTTCGAGTCCCTCGCGCGATCCCGATCCCACATACGTCTCCCCCTCGCGCGATCCCGATCCCCATCCCCCCCCCTCCTCCCTCATCCGCCTCCTCCACCCTTCCTCCTCCTCCCTCCTCCTCCCCCCCCCTCCCCGTCGATTTCATCTTCATCGTCTTCAGGGTCGGCGGCACCGGCCGTAAGGCCTTCGCAATAATCCCACCAGCCCTCTGGGCGTCGGTGGTTTCCTCTTCCACCCCTCCTTCTTCCCCTTCGAAGGTTTTAGCCACGTGTTGGCTTCTTGGGGGGGGACACTGATTAAGATGACTCTAAGAGCGCCTGGGAGAACCCAAAATGACCTCCAAGATGGCTCAAGATATCCCAAGATGTCTCATAATGGCTTCCTCTGTGTGCTGCCCACTTGCCTGATCGAGGCAATTCCTCTGGGCATCGTTTCTGGATGGTCTGGTGGGGATTATTTTTGGTATGCGGGCTCGCGAAGCAGGTCGAAAGCCGTCCGAGTACTAGTCACTGGTGGGGATTTTTTTTGGTCGCAGCCGCAGGCGAGAGCGCAAGCGGGGAGTCGTAAGTCCGGGCCGCGGGCCTACGACTTAAAACAGGAGCAAGCTAGAGCAGCGTAACCTAAACAACTAGCTGCCTAAGCGTCGACTGGTGGGGATTTTTTTTTCGGTCGCGTCCACAAGCGAAAGCGCAGGCGGAGTCAGAAACGTTCCGGGACACGGAAACGGCCTAATTAGCTACTGAACGCGCCGCAGGCCGGCCGGCCCATTCACCAAGCAGCAGCGGGGCAACGCGGGAAAACTGACAAACTGGTGGGGATTCGCGAAGCGTCAACAATTCCCACGATCGCCGCAGGCTCTCGCTCCTTTCAGGGGCCAGCGGAATGTCGTAAAAAACTTGAATCAGTTCGAACACCCAGAAAAATACCGAAACTGTGTCTGCCCGACACGCTTGCGAAGTGTCCAACGAGTATCGCCTCCCAGGGCCTGCCACGTGAAACCCTTATAGTTATAGTACTTTCCTGGCGTTCAAATATCCTGCTGGTGCACAAAACTAAAGTAGGTTAGAACATTAAGCCGAGGGGAGTGCTCCCTGGGAACATCGCGGCCTTGAGGCTGGCAGACATCCCACGAAGGCTCTCGAGAAGAAAGGGGCACTGAAGACGGGGGTCAAGAAGAGGTGGATTGGCGCGACGTGGCCCGAGGCAGGTGCGCGGACGAGGGGGGGACCAGGGAACGCATTGAAACAAGAAAAGGGGGCCATGACGTCTGGAAGGCTTCGTTGCCACAGCCATGATGTCTCCCCACATACACACGCACCACTCAGCTGTTCCGATAGGCAACACGCCACATGTAGCGTGTGGACATGGAGTTTAACACGTAGACTGAAGACGTAAGTCTGGCACGATACGCTCGCCACAACATGCACCAATACGTGCCGAACCAACACGCAGCGTGTGAACACGGACGTTTCGAACACAGCACGTGTTGGGTTTCAAAACAGGCGTTTCTGGGCACCTGAGCACACAAACACGAACGAAAACACACACAGTCCTCACTCCTTGCTTGGGCGCCCCCGACTGAAGGGGGAGGGGATAGACGAGAACGAAGAGGTTCGAAGATCGGTGAGAATATTGGATAATCGCGCCACTGATTTTTGCCCGATGTCGCCCTCAGGAGAAGGCCCATCAAAAGTCAGACCGGGATGATAGAGCGGTCATGAAAGACCCTGGGGCTGGGGGGCCAAGTTAAACCGGAAATCGATCGGGACGCGGGCGATGAGAATCGAGGATCAGTGTGTCTAGGCGCCTTTGGCCCTCCTCGGGCCGCTGAGGGCCTCCGAAGGTCCTCCCGGGCTCGAACCTCCAAGGGGAGCTGCGCGCGTGGGACCAGCGGGGCTCCCGAAGCGGCCGACAAGGGGCTGTCGTTCTCCCCACCCTCCTGCAGTTTTTTTTTTTTTTGTTTGTTTGTTTTATTATGTTTCTCTCTCTCTCTCTCTCTTTCTCTCTTCCTCGCTCTCTCTCTCTCTCTCTGTTTCTCTCTCTCTCTCTCTATGTATCCCTGTCTCTCTTTCTCTCTCTCTCTCTTTTTCTTTCTTTCTCTGTGTATGTAGGTAGAATGGAGGACCTGACATTGGCGGGCCAACAGGCAGGAGCAGGGGGCGAGATGGAAGCGTCCTCTCGCTAGTTCGGAAAGGCGACCTCCAGGAGGGGAAGGGCGACCTCCTCCCGAGGAGGAGGAGGAGGAGGAGGAGGCGGCGCGTGAAAAAGGAAATCCAGATCCCAGCCACCTTACGCTTCCTCCCTTCCCAGCTGCGCCTGATCCACGATGGAGTCGAGGGAGGCTCGGCACAACAGATGCCTCTGACGCCTCCGCGTTGGGAGACGTGTGGCCAACCTCACGGCGTCTATCGATTGGACGGCTTGGGAAAGGGACAACGGGAGCGACTTCTGATGGGACGTTAAACGATGTGTGTGATGACACGCAACTACAAAGGCCAGCGAACTGCTTCGAAGCTCAAGGAGGAAGAGAGCTCCCTGGGAGAATCGACTGACGTTATCCGGAGCACTGCACCCGCGCTGCACTGCAGTGCTCCGGATATCGTCAAGCACTGACCCCCCCCAGGACCCCCCCGGTACCCCCCTGGGACCCCCCCCCGCGCGGGGAAGGGATCAGAGGGAAGGGGCTTCCCTTCGAGTCTACAACGGCGTTAGAGGAGGGCCCAGGAAAAGAGAGGGGGGACGGCGGAGACGACGAGGAGACGACGGAGACGACGAGGAGACGACGGAGACGACGACTCGAATGAGGAAGCCCCTCGCACGCGCCGACAGGGTCGGCGGATATGGTGGTTCATGCATCTGTACGCACGCGCTGTTTTGGAATACTGGGTCTGGGCTGAACCCTTCTGCGAGCTTGGAGCATGAGGAAGAGGAGGAGGAGTAGGAAGAGGAGGAGGAGGCACAACTGGAACAAACACGTCCTGGAGAACCGTGTGGACAGCAGTTTTGAAGCGTCTTGGGGCCCGTTTTGGGGCCTCATTTGGGCCTCTTGGGGGCCTCTGGGGGTTTAGTGGGGCCTCTTTTTGGGCCGCTTGAGGGCTTCTTGGGCCCTTGGGTGGCATCTGATGGGGGAAGCAAGCGATTTTCGGTTCGTGTTTTGTCTTGGTGTCTCTCTTAGGGCCCTGTTGGTGCGATCTTTGGCCGTCTTGGGCTCTTTCCTGGGCCGTTTTGGGACCGCTTTGGGTAGTCTTTGGGCCCTCGTACCTCTTGAGCAGTTTCGGGGGTGGTCTACGGGGCCTTTTGGGCCGTCTCGGGGCGTCGGGAGCTCGAGAAGACAGTACTTCCAGAAAGAAGGCGCCACCGAAGGACACCGATTGATTTTTGCCTCTCGTGGCCCTTTGCGGACGGCTCGCGGGGCGTCTCGGGAACCTCTTGGGGCCTCCTGGGGGCCTCTTGAGGCGGAAGGTTCGGATTGTCGGTTCGTATTCCCTCTCTTGGGCCCCTTTCCGGGCCTTCTTGGGACCCTTTTTGGCCGTCTTGGGCGCCTATTGAGCCGTTTTCGGGCTCTCTTACGCCGTCCTGGGGCTCTGTTGGGGGCCTTTGGGCCGTCTCGCGGGCCTCTCGGGGGCCTCTCGGGGGCCTCTTGGGCCGTCTTGGAGCGTCGGGAAAGAGAAGCGGGGAGAACGCGACCATATTCGAACGCCTGAGGAACACCATGGATTTTTGCCTCTCGGGGCCCTCTTGGGAAGGCTCTCAAGGCGTATCGAATGCGTCTTGAGGCGTCTTGAAGCCATGGTAAGCGTCTTGGGTTGATCTTTCAGCGATTCTGGACCGTCTTGGAGCGACTTCGGGGCCGTCTTGGGACCCTCTTGAGCCGTGTTGGGCGCCTCCTGGGCCGTCTGCGGGCACTCTCAGGTCGTCTTGAAGCCCTTTTGGAGGCCTCTTGGGCTGTCGTTGGGGCCTCCCGAGGCCCTCTTGGGCCGTTTGGGAGCGTCGAACATCAGAAAAAGCGAGAACGTCCAACTCCTTCAAAAACCTGAGGAGGAACGCCTTGGGGGCCGTCTTGGGAGCCTCTTGAGCCGTCTTTGGCGCCTCTCGGGCCGCCTTCGGGCGCTCTGAGTCCGTCCTGGCGCCCTTGGGCCGTCTCGGGGGCCTCTCGGGGGGCCTCTTGGGCCGTCTTGGAGCGTCGGAAATCAAAACATGCGAGAACGCTCAACTCCTTCAAAGACAACCATGGGTTTTTGCCTCTCGTGGCCCGCTTGGGAAGACTCTTGGGGCGTCTCGAAAGCGTCTTAGGGCGTCTTGGAGCCATCATAAGAGTCTTGGATCAATCGTTCAGCGATTCGGGTCTGTCTTGGAACGCCTTCGGGGCCGTCTTGGGACCCTCTTGAACCGTGTTGGGCGCCTCTGGGGCCGTCTTCGGGCGCTCTGCGGCCGTCGTGAAGCCCTCTTTGAGGCCTCTTGGGCTGTCTTTGGGGCCTCTCGGGGCACCCTGCCTCTTTGGAGTCGAAAGTGTGCGCGGCGTTTTTGCACGCTTAGTTGCAGCAGCTTGCTTGTGGGACGCTTTCGGTCAGTCCTTCCCCACTCCGTGCGGTGTGATCTCGTCCCTTTCTCCGCGTTGCGCTGTTGCCAAAGAACCAACCGCCATGATCGTCTTGGTTCTCCTCGGTTGTGGTGGTCGTGGTGGTTGTGGCCGGCGTCGTCGCCGCCGCCGGTGCCTCTGTCGTCTGGGGGCCGACCGCCAGGACGAACACGGCCACATCCGCCGGGCGGCAGTGTGCGCGCTGGAGCGCGGGGGTGGGGGAGGGAGCAGCACTTGTCGCAGGACGCCGCATTCTCGGCCGCCAGGGGGCGGTGCAGGTGGCTGGAGTGCTGCCGAGGCAGGGAGGGCCGTCGGAGGCGCTCGTCGGAGGCCGTCGGAGGTTTTCGGAAGTCACCCAGGGCTTCTTGGCGCCACGCCCAGGCGCGGTTCGGAGAACGGACTAGGACGTTGCCCGTGAGGTGTCAGGGGGGCGTATTTGCGTCGGGAGGCCCCTGTCGTGCTGGCGTCGTGGACAAAATCGCGACGAACGCTTGTGCCCTCTGTCTGCACTTGGGGCCCATGGGGTTTTCGGGCCGTCGGGCCTTGTCCTCGTCGTCCTCGTCCTCCTCTCCCCCGTCATCTTCGCCATCCTCGTTTTCCTCTTGCTTGTCCTTGTGTACCTCGTCCTCCTCCTCTTCGTCCTCTTTTTTGTTTCTCGTCCTCGTCATCTTCTTCGTCCCCGTCGCCGTCGCCGTCCTTTTTTTGTTTTCCTCTTCGTGGCATCGCACCCATTCCTTATCAGTTTAGTTAGCTGTTTGAAGTAAAAGGTCGGCGTTCTCGGCCCCCAGAGACGTGCGCGCTTCCATTCTCGCTTGCTCCCGCCTCTTGCCTCTGCTCTCTCTCCCGCTCCGCCACCCACTGGGGGCTCTTTGTGGGGTCGACTTCAGTTGGCCCGAGGCTGGGTACTCTGAAGGCCCACTCCGGAGGCCCACGAGTTTCTGAGGGTTCCGAAAGCCGGCGCTGGCAGCGCGATATCTTGCCGCGCTGTGCCTGGCTGCTGGGCGGAGGGCGCGCGGCCCCCACCAGCCGCCGCTGCTGGGCCGATGGAGAAGGACGGCTGTTGCGTGGCATCGGCGACCGCTCGCCGCGCAGCGTTGCTGGCCACCCATTCCGTCACCAGCCTGGCGAGCGCGAGGGGGGCCGCTGAGCCCAAGGGCTCGCCGCCTGGCGGGGTGCTGGTGATCGGGGTCACGTTCGGCGGGCTTCGGTGAGTTGCGCCTGGAGCCTGCCCAGGCCTGCAACCGCTGGTGCGCATTACGTGTACTCATCGTTCGCGCACGACGACGCGGAAGTCGCGCGGCCATCGAGGACGAGGGGCCTGGCGAGCTTGGGTCGTCGCCAGCGGGGGAGTCTTCGCTTGGCGAGTCACCTGGGCGGCCGGCCTCCCGAGGGGGAGGGGGAGCAAGCCAGTCCCGCCCTCAGTGTGGGTTTTTGGACGTCTCCTGGGACTGGGGAACCGAACCTGGTCCTGGAGAGCGGAGGGGGTGGGAGGTTGGGCCCTTGAGACAGTCGAGAACTTCGCCGGCGCCATTCTCTACCCAGAAGGAATCAGGATGGCTCAGCACTGGGATCCTGGCCATGACCGCGCGGAGCCCGAAGGCCATCCTCGCCCCTTGCCGCTATTGCGTCGGGGTGCTCGGCGGGATCTTCAGCATCTTGAGGTACTCCTCGGCGCTCGCCAGGCAAAGCGGGAATGGACAAACTTCTGCCGTCGGCCGTGCTGCAGCCAACTGCCAACTGCCAACTGGCCATCGGGTCCGCAACAAGGTGCGGGGTACGAACCAGAAGTTCAACGACGTCCTCATCTGGATCGACGGGCGCATGGTCCGCCTCCGCGGCGACCCGCAGGCCGTGAATCGCACCGACCGGTCGGGCTCGCGGATCAATTGCGCGGCGGTGAAGGGGGTCAGCTCCCATTTCCCGCGACGGCGACTGGGGCGGGCCGAGCAGGGGCGGGCCAGCTTCGACCGCGCCCGCGGATGTGGGGCCAAGGGCGGCGACGTCCACAGCAAGGAGTACGCGGCTGTAGGCGCCCACGCCGAGTTGACAACGTGCCGGGGTCTGACCATCTTGTGGCGCGTACTTGCTGGGGGATCGCGGCGTGGGGCCCTCCACCTCGGCTATATGAACGGCTGCGGAGGGAGGCGTTGCCGCCGCGCTGCGGTTGGCAAAGCGGCGTCTGCGTGGCAACGGGTCTGGCGGAGATCTTGGACTGGGGGTCGGGGTCAGAGGTTGAGCATGAGGGCCGCCTTTGCGAGGCGGTCAAGGTCGGCGTCGTGCCCAAAAGTGGTATGCGCCCGCTCGCGGGCAACGGCTGCTACAGCGCTGTTCGGGCCGAGCCGACCATCCACCTGCGCCAGGGCGGCCGGGCCCCTGTCCTCCCGCCGCCCTCGGACGGGCGCAGCGCCGCCGCTTGCTTCTGCGCCGCGCCCGTCGCGGCCAGGTGAAACTGGAGACGCGGCTCGATGACAAGTGCTCCCAACTGACTTGCTACCGGGAGGCCGCGGGGGCCGCCGCTGGAGCGCCTCTGCGTCTCTTTTGCGTGGGTGGAGAAGCCAGCCGAGCAGCCGCGGCGCCCGCACTTCCAGCGCCCTGGGTCGACTTCTCTGCGGGGCTCTGCTGCTGGATCCGCGGCGGCCGCAGCCCCGGGCGCCGTGTCGTCGGCAATTCAAGCGGCGACAGACCCACCGCCAGCGCGCCCTGCCGCGGGGGGCCGGACGTCCGAAGCGAGCCCCGAGGCCGCCGCGGCGGGGGTCTCCCGCGCCCGCTGTCGGCCTGTGCTCGGTGCTCTTTGCGTCGCCGTCGGTCCCACTGCCCAGCCAGAGCTCCGCGGTGGAGTTCGGGGCAGTCAAGGATGAGGAGCGCGTCGTTGTGGGGGCTCGCGTCCACTGGCCCGGCGGCCCCCGGCGGTCATCTTCCTGGGCCTATCGATCAGGCGGCCGAGCGTGGAGCCTCGGCGCGAGATGTCAGGATTCGCGTCCGCTGCGCGGACATGCGCTGCAACGCCAGGTTGGGCGGGCTGCTATCCTTTCCGAAGATCAGCAGCGCAGGGCGTCTGTCAGGGGGTTTCAAGGAGGGTGCTGCAGCGCCCGCCCATAGGCGGGTGGGAGCTCGGGGCCCTGGTGGTGGCCGCCACGATGGCCGCTTCTGGGGCGAAGCTGGCCCCCTGGCCAGGCGTGCGGGTCGGCGTGGAGGCGCGCCCGCTCGCGCAGCGCCAGCGAGGGCTGCTCAAAGCCCTAGCCAATCAGCAGGTCCAGTGGCAACCTGACGGCGCCGCCTCTGGGGCGCAGCCCGTGCGCGACTGAGCTGGAGGCCATCGACCAGCGACTCGCGCAGCGTCGGAAGCGCTAGGGCAGCAGCGTCTCCCCCGAGCCGCCCCCCCCTCCAGCGGCCGGTGGGCCCGCTGCTTCGCCTGCGGACGCGGGGGGTGCCGCGCCAGGCGCAGGCGGGGTTGCCCAACAGGATAGTGCCGAGTGTCGCGGGGCTGTTCCAACCGGGGTGCCTGCAGTCGCGCTGGCTTGACTCGCGCTCCCGGCCCGCCTGATCGGAGGTTCGCAGCGGGCGCTGGCGACGCTGAGCCCCCGTCCACCGGGTTTGCTCGCAGGTTCTCCAGGCCGGGCAGGTGCAACGTTACCTCGACAACGAGCGCAAGCCCCACGCTGTCTATGGGTTTCGTCGAGACGACGATAAGGTGGCTCAGAAGGGGACTTCGGCTTCGATCTGGCGGTCGGAGGAGCTGTACATCGACCTGGCGAGGGCGTGCGACACCCTCGCGGTTGAGGTGCGCGGCGCTCTCATTGGCCCGGAGCTCTTCCGCGGGCTGCGCCGCGCGTGCGAGCGCGCCGAGCCCCTCGTGCGGGTCGTGGACCTCCCGGCGGCCGTCTCGAACCAGATTGCATGCGGGGTTGTATCCGTCGAAGGGGGGGCAAGGGCCGCGTCGCCCTGCCGAACTGGTTGGTCTCTCCCCGTGGCAGGGCTCCCGCTGCCGGCCAGGGGTGCCTCGACGTTTGCGTGGTGCCCCCCGACGTGGCTGGGGCCTCGCCCGAGGCGTTCTTTGGTCTGCTCGGCGTAGGTCAGGCAGGCGAAGAACGGCGTCGCCATGTTCGAATTCTTTTTCGGGGCGGATCACGTGCGGGAGCGACTTCTGGCTTTGCTGGAGACCCTCCGCATCGCTCGCGAGGACGACGACGTCGGGTTTCCGCCGCTGGTGTGCACGGGGGGGTCGGTGGCGGAGCGGGCGGGGAAGTGTGGGGGGGGGCGCCTGGAGTTGGGCCGCGTCCTCGGGGTGTTACGCCCGAGGAAGGAGGACTTGAAGCTGTGCGCGCCTGCGCCTGCCTTTTGGTGATGCCGCCTGCTTCGAGTTCCCGGGCGCGCTCGCCTTGGAGGCGGTGGGTGGCTGCTGCCCGGCGGTGGGCGTGCCCGGGCAGCATCGGGGGCCCCGGAGGTTCTCGCGCCAGAGCGTGCAAGGGGTGGGGCCAAGGGCGCCGCCAAGTTCAGGCGGGCCGGAAGGCCCCAGGGCCTGCGGGCCCCGATCGCTTCCGCCCAGGCGGGCGCCCGACTGGCCAAAGCGAGCAGGCGGTGCGAAGCGTCTTCTTCCAGCCCCCAAGAACCGCGCATCGGGCGCCCAGGAGGCCCGCCCGTGCCTGCCCAGCTAGTAAGAGAGTTTCTCCTGCTGAGACTGGTCGGCGCATCGAAGAGGCGCCCCAGGGTGGCTATGTGGAGGTCCTCTGCTGGGGCGCGTGTGCATGGGTGGGGCGCCTGAAGGCTGCTGCTATGTGCGCCCGCTCGCGCGATCCCATCGAGGGCATGATCGGCGTCGACTGCGCGGCTGGGCCATCTGAACAATAGAGGCGGCCTTGCGTAGGGCGCCGAGCTCGGGCCGGGCTCGGTCGACGGCCGCGCGGCCCAGCTCAGGGCCCAGGCGCAGGCCGATGTGAAGAGCAAGCGCGTCGCGGGACCCCCGGCCGCATCGGCCGGAGGGCGGGGTGGCCGCCGGGAGGGCCTAATCGGTCTGGCACAGCGGAGGGCCCCCCTTTGGGCCGCTTCGAAGGCTCGCGACGACCTGCAGTGCGCCGAGATGGAGGGCGCAGTGCGCGAGGTGGTGCTCGGCCCAGGCGAGCTGGCGTGAAGTCTCTGGCGCCGATTGGAGCTGTGGCGAAGCTCGCCGACGCGCGCGGGAATCTCCTCTCGCGCGTCCTTGCCCGC